CTCTCTCTCTCTCTCTCTCTCTCTCTCTCTCTCTCTCTCTCTCTCTCTCTCTCTCTCTCTCTCTCTCTCTCTCTCTCTCAACAGTTTATCGATATGCATATACAGATCATAATTGATGTGGAATTGGAAACGAAATAAAGTAATAGAATAGAATACAAAGAATAAAGGAATAATCGATTAATAACGAATAATAAAATAGAGTACATAAGCTAACTATAAACATGTCAACAAATGTATGTGTGATCGTTGAACTCCAACAACAAACAACAAAAAACACATTCACGCATCGATCGACAAATGTGAGTTCGGGATTAACGAAATTCATGTGAAGGGCGTAGCTCTCCCGCTGCCACGCACACATACAGACATCCAGTCACAAATGGTGCTCAACCGGCGGCCCACGGCCGAGCATGTATTCCATTCAATGAAAACAACAATACGGCATTCGTGACACCGGCGAGAGAACAGTATCACACCACTATTTCCTCCAATCGCGACAGGACACGTGGACACTGGACACCAAACACCCGATAGACTGACACAAAGACAACGTGCGACACATCCCCTACGCTCCGTTATCTGAACCGCGCTCGCTAATTCACCGCACATTCGTCTTCACAGTCCATTGCCACCCATCGACCGTGCACACACAAGGAAGATGACCCCATCCAAATCTTCGTTGCACAAAAACGAAGGGGGTGATAAACCTTCTCCCCCACGACTGTACGCAGGGACACACGTGACACTGTAACGTTCCGCCACTCTAGCAAGTACGCACCCGCCCTTGCAAAAATGAAAAAGCCATGCATGCACCAAAATCCCCGATCTCTCTCGCCTCTCCGACCACAAAACAAAACCTCGATCCATCGCCACCTTCCTCCCGCGAAGATGACGACAATCAGAACACGCACCCGAAGCTACGCACGGACCTCGCCGTGAAGGTACCCGCGATCGACAAGCGGCTTCTCGAGGAACATGTAGTAAAACGCTCCGTTATCCAACCGCGAAGCGTGCTCTATCGCCAAGTTCTGGATGAGGTTCTCGACGATGTCTACCTGCAGGTGCGTCCAATCGTCTGGAACGATGAATCCAGTTTTCGTCACGTATAACACGACATGAGAGAGGAGACGGTTGTTGTAGCCCAAGGCGGCGTCGATGTCAATAGCGGCCTGCCCATTGACGTCGACCGAATAGAAATAGTACGACCGGCAAGTGATCTCGTTCCCGAACGGCGGGTCGTGATGAAAGTACCCGTCCAGCCGACGACGCTCTTCCCAATACATGATCACCTCGCCACGCACAATCTCCCTCCATGCGAGTTCCATATGATCTCTCTCTCTCTCTCTCTCTCTCTCTCTCTCTCTCTCTCTCTCTCTCTCTCTCTCTCTCTCTCTCTCTCTCTCTTTATCTCTCTCTCTCTCTCTCTCTCTCTCTCTCTCTCTCTCTCTCTCTCTCTCTCTCTCTCTCTCTCTCTCTCTCTCTCTCCACCGGGAGCGGCAACGCAGGAATCTCCCACACACGAGCGTGGTGATAAACCTTCTCCCCTACGGAAATGGACTGCCAACGTGCTTTATATAGAAGCGCGCATGTGCCAGCTGCCCCCGGAATAACGGGCCCGTCACAGGCACTCGTGCCACATCCCCCATCCCGGGCCATCCGAAAATAACTGTCCCGATGTTTTTTTATTTTTTTCCTCAATTATGTTGGGATGCCAGGGATGGGTTTCGAGGGACCACATTCCGGAAAAACGGGGGCGGTTAACGACGGGTTGGAAATCGACGACCCGCAATGCCCTACTTCGTCGACGGGTCTGTGTCCTGACTGTCGCCGGCCACCCGCCCAGTCCCTGCCCCTCTACCTGCCATCACCCCAACCAGCATCTCCAACACACGATTCCCTTGCCGCATCACCCCCACCACAGCACCGATCTCTGTCGCCATATCTCCCATCTTCGCTGCCATGAGCGCAGCACCTTCTGTCGTGGCACGTGCCATGTTCCCCGCAGCCTTGTCCAGGTCCTCGCAGAGAGACCGCGTGGATTCCTCCATCACCAAAGCCATGCCGAACATGTAGGACGATGACTCACCTCCCTGTACTTTTCCAGTTGCGGTCCGCCTTGTCTTCGCTGCACTCCCGGTGGGTTCTGTCCCCCAACCTTCGGAACCTGCCTCGCTCTCTGATCCTCTCGATCCAATCCCCCTCAAGTCCTCCGACGCCATCGTATTGTCGAAATTGAAGGAAGCCTTCTTTCGGTACCACTCCATAGCGTCCCACGACGGCTTCTCAAATGTCAGGGGTATCCCCAATGTCTTCTCTCCTCCGTAGTGATGTCGAAGTACCCCGGCTTGCCGGAGTCACTGCAGGCGTCACGAATCTCCCTCACCTTCTTCTGGAACTCTTCCCACTTCTTCCTACAATCCTCCCCTGTCCTCGAATAACCCAGGTCCGTCAGGCGGTCTGCAATCCACTCATATCTCCTTGTCCTTGTCATGTTCTGGTGAGCGCCCTCCGCATCGGCCATGAGGGCGTCATCCTCGCCGCTGATCCTCGCCAGGGCTATTCGCTCTTCCAGAGTCCATAGGTTGTTCTTCTTGGGTTGGGTTGTAGACTTCCCCCCCTTCTTCCGGGTACCACATGCAGATCTCGCGGCGGTCCGACCATGCGCACCTCCACCCGGGTTCGTCAATGAATCGGCTGCCGGTCCGTCATCACCATCGCAGTCGGAGTTCTCCCCATCCAAGCCCGCCGTCAACCCTTCGCCCGCGCCATTCGAACTCACACCCGCCATGTTGGGCGAACAATCACCGGCCGTGTCCCTCATGGCATTGGCACTCCCTGCCTGTCGGGGATCCATATTCCCGAATTACGGTAGCCACCCCTGAGCCCCGGTCTTCGCCCATCGCTGCCCTTTGCTGTCGTTGCTGACGTGTCGGTGATTGCCAGGCACTCACCCCGCCCGAAACTGCGACACCAGGTGTCATGTACTGCCGCAACCCCCCCCCCCCCCCCCCCCCCCCCCCCCCCCCGCCACATGTTGTGGTCGCAAAGCACGATCAGGCACAGCTGACTGCCCCGCTGTGGCCGTCCTTTGCGCATGCCTTGCCTGTGGTGGCGGTATCGCACTCGTTCGCTGCGTGTGTACCACGTCTTCGTACTCCCCGGCAGCAGCCCAAGCACCGACAACGTCCGTCGATGCGCCTCCCCACGACAAGTAGGATTGGATCGGCCTCTCTCTGCTGTTTGATGTCCCCTGTGCAGTCTGCATGTACGTTTCTCGCCCCATGAAACCTCCACAGCCGCCCACGCATAACGACTCCTTTGTGCCCATGCCCGCGAAAGTCGAGTTGTGCAGTCTGCCTCTGTCCGCCTGCTCCGAACGAAGCGTGTAGGAACCATGAGCTGCCATGATGGGCCACGTCATCGGTGGAGGCCCTGCCCCGTGCATATGTCCATGGGGCTGAACGTCTCCAGCCCGAACCTCGTCGGTGTCGTGCATGTATGCACCGGCATCCCCGTACAGTTCGGACGTAAAACTTCGTCCCTCCATCGATCTACCGCCTAGTTAGGAACACAGTGATGACACAGCAGTGAAGCAGATCACAACGACGATGCAGAAAGTAATCAGCAGCGCCACGAGTATGGTCGCTCCCCAAAACACAACGCTCAGAATGCAGCCCAGACCGTTGTTGTTGCAGCCCTGGAAGACGATAACTATCGGGCCTCGCGGTGATGTTGTCGGCCGTCTTCCACCGTCGCAACAGTTGCATTCTTCGGCAGCACTCGGTAGCACTGGAGATGGCACGTGGATAGGATGCACAGATGTCCCCCCACCTTGTGCGTTAATGAGCTGCTGTGTCGGCCGTCCCACGACGTCCCCAACGGGCCTCAACCGTGCATGAGAAGTCGTTGGAGGCCACGCGCTTTCGGCTCGTCGACATAGCAAGCTCCTCGAAGAACTCCCTATCCATGTCGGCCGGATGGCACGCACGAAGTTTGGAGCGTCGACTGCAGACACACCCGCCGCTATGGCCTGGCTTCGTCGACGGAAGGACGACAGCCAATGACCAGGCCCACCTCGATCAGGGAGGGATTGGCAGTGCTCCCGGAAGTCACTCTGTCTTCTGTCACCGCCGATGACCTCGCGTGCCGCTGCATGAAGGCGACGACAAGCGGACTTCCACGGCAATGCACGGCGATGGAGGCTGGAGAAGGCTTGCATGACCGAAGCCCAAGGGGAGGAACCACCCACGTGCGCGGCAACGTCGTCACAGGCGCCTTCACATGCAATCACTCCACCAACGTCGGCTGCCTGATGACGCCAACGGCATGCAAAAACCCCACCTTTGGAATTCGAATTCGAATTCAAATTCCAAAGGGCGGGGCTTTGCCCGCCAAAATGTTAACCGCTGACGCGGGGCCACAGAAGGTGGGCCCCGTCTCACCGTGCGACACCGTGCATGGAACACACTGCTGCTCCAGGACCCTACGAGACGGTTCGGCGGACATCCTGAAGTCCGGCCTGCGGCCGACATCTTGGAAACCTTTGGGATGCCTCCATCCCCAACGTTCGAGAGTCAGCACAAAATTGCGCCGGAAATCCCTCCCGCGGTACTTTTCCACGCCGCAGATCATGTGGAAACACAATTCCGCACTTTTCCACCCCACAAAGCGCGGCGTGTGGGGCCCCGCGGAACACTTCTGCGGAAAACACAAAACTTTTCCACAGACTTTTCCGGGCTATGTGGGCTCCCGGAAACAATTCTGCGGCAAAAGTTTTCCTTGCCGCATTCCTGTGGGGTCCAGGCCTCAGTTGTGAAGTCTACCACTGCTCAAACTCCTCAATGGGGGCATTGGGTTCCTAAAAGCCATACACTTTTGTCAGTGTATGTTCCCAGCACGTGCCGCGCCCCATTGAAAATGAGGTCTGCCACTGCTTTATTCCTGGGCCGTGGTCCCACTGGCAAAGGGGATAGGATAGAAATCCTGAATCTGGCTATTTTTATGCAGAGATACAGAAAAGCAGATCTATCTCGATTTCCTGCTCCTGTCCTCAAACACATCCAGATTCAGGCAGCACGTGCTGGGAACATACACTGACAAATAATATGTTCTTTTTGCTTTTTTGGACTCGGAGGAAATTGTCAAAACAGCTAGTAAATCACTTTCCACATTTTCAATGAATTATGAAAGCCCCGATTGAGTGTCACACCCTTGCGCTAGCTCAACTCAACGGTAGATGTGGGACACGGCCCCGGCAAATGGCTCTGAGGTCCATGGAGGTCCGTTAAAAATAAAATGGCACTCAAAAGAAAAAAAGAAAAAGCGAGGATGCAGAGAAGATGAGCATCCCCCGTCACCTCCCAACCCCGCGAATTCAAGGATCCATTCACAGATCGAGCAACGGTCCAGATCGCCATTAACAGATAGAGCAACGGTCCAGATCTCTAACGGACGGACGGAGGGAGGGAGGGAGGGAACAGAAACAGCCGACAAAATCATCTGCTGCAGTCTACGCACAGATTCCAGCAATTATAAAGCCTGGCCGACATGTTCGTAGAGGATGCAAGCTCTCTCTCTCTCGCGCGCGCACAGATTCCAGCAATTATAAAGCCTGGCCCACATGTTCGTAGACGATGCAAGCTCTCTCTCTCTCGCGTGCGCTCTCGCTCTCTTGCTCGCATGCACACATACACGCTCACACCCACACAGGAACGTTCACTCAATCGCTGGCTGTGTGCAAGTGTACTGGACTTACGGAAAAACTCAGCTGGTTCTGTCTATCATCATCTCCTTCCCCCGCCTTCCCTTGACAGCGTCTTGTTGTTTGCCTGGCAAACTGGACCTAGCGGCCCTGCTCCTCCATCGCCGAGTTGAGCGGCTGGGCTGCAGCAGGACTTGCACGGGGGGATGGGGGAGAACAGCCGGTGCAAATACACAGTTCCGACCGGCTCCTGGTCAAACGGAGCCGATAGGTCGGCAGGCCGGCCCTCTCTGAGCCGGAAGGCGCACCCAGGGCTTAGTTGCTGCGTACACTCATATACGGAGGTGGAGGCTGAGTGTGTGTGTGTGTGTGTGTGTGTGTGTGTGAGAGAGAGAGAGAGAGAATGTTGGGCTATGAAACCGTGCGTTCATTGAATGCGGGTTTTGCGTTCAGAAACTGAACGCTTTGAACACGTGTTCTCAACTTGAACGGGTTTGCGGATATAAAGAAACCGACAATAAACAACGAAAAAAAAAAAAAAAGGGAAAAAAAAAAACCCTGCATCTGTGTGTGTTGTCATATTCGCTGTACACTTTAAAAAAAGCATGACTGTGCCAGACTGTTTCGGGGGACTTTCACCGAGTCTGTGTGTGTGTGTGTGTGTGTGTGTGTGTGTGTGTGTGTGTGTGTGTGTGTGTGTGCGCGTTTGTGCATGTGTGCATCTGTGTGTGTGTGTGCGTGTGTGTGTAGAAGAGCAAGCTCCTGTGTGTGTGAGTTTGTGTACACTAGGGCGCAGTTCACACACGAACACACGCACACACAAAAGCTTTATTTTTTTTTTTGGCCCGCCACGACTTCGTCTGCCTCCTCATCTTCTTCTTCTCCGTCCTCCTCTTCTTATTCCTCCCTGTCCTTCTCCTCCTCCTCCTCCTCCTCCTCCTCCTCTGAGAATGTGCAACGTGGCACTTGCTGTTTTTTTTTTTTTGGACCCGCCATAACTCCCCTCTCCTCCTCCTCCTCTTCTTCTTCTTCCTTGTCCTCCCTGTCCTCCTCCTCCTCCTCTTCTTCCTCGTCCTCCTCTTCCACCACATCTTTCTCCTCCTCCAATCAACGCTGCTCCCCCATCCCCGCTGCTGGCCCCAACGCCACCGCCGCTGCCTATGACTTCGCTAGCGCTGGCCCCAAGGGCGCCGCTGCTGCCCCCTACGCCTTGGCCAATGCTGCTCCCCCGTTTGCCACCGCTGCAGGTTTTTTTTGTTTTCTTTTCTTTGTATTTGTTTTCCAACCAGCCAATCAATCAATCAATCATCAATCAATCAACTACTCAATCCACACACACACACACACACACTTTTCTTTTTTTTTTCAAAACTCTGCGCGCCCCAGAGTGGCTTCTGACATGTGCACCTGGGTGGGGGGCGCGCGTTTCAGTTTTCTCCCACCGTATGACACGTGGAGCTATTGAATGCGTTCAATTGAACATGCGCTCGCTTTGAACGCGTTTGAACATGCACACGCTCGCTTTGAACGCGAAGGCGTGTCATAGATGTTGGGCTCCCCTGGTGCAGTGCAGAATGGGTAGTTCAGATCCGGGGAAATGCAGGGGGTTGGCAACTTGGCAGTCTGCTTCGGACTGCTTGCCTTGTGCTCGCTTTTGGCAGCTTCCGCAGCTGGTGCAGCTCCCTACAGGGCCTACACAGAGTCGATCGCACGTCCTCCGCTCTTGGCCGTGAGTGAAGGAGGGGGTCAACGATCTCTCCAGTCGGACTTAGTCTATGCTTTTCCTTCTTTTCCTCGCCCTGAATGCGCTGGCAGACATAGTTGAGTTGCAGCCGGCGGCAAGGAGGGCCTGGAGGGGATGGGCGGTCTTGTCCGTTTTTCCTCAATGGGCCCAGACTCCCAGAGGGGTCAGTGGGAGGCAGAGACTGAAAGTGGTCCGAGGATGAGCGTCTTGGAGGCCTCATCACGGCCGCTTACAGGACCTGGTGGTGATCTCGGAGAGTAGGACGAATCAGCGGCGCTTTATCCTCGCAAGATGAGGATGGAAATAGAGGGGCGTGATAAGCACGTTGGCAGGCCAACCGCTGAAAAAAGCGGTCATGATTCTAAACAGCAGCCTGGTTTTGCAACGAGCTTCTTTCACTTCG